CACACACAATGTCACAAAGTTAAGGCCATCACAAACTGGTTTGCTGAACATCACAGTGCAGAGTCTCAAGCCAATAGAGCTCCTTTGGGATGTGGTGGAAGAGGCGATTGACATTATGGATGACCAGCTGACATGTCTGTGGCAACTGTGCGATGCTATCATGTCAATATGAACCAAAATCTCTGAGGAATGTGTCCAGAAAATGACAGCATTCGATAGAAGGCTGATACCACACTCTAAGCGAAAACACAGTCATTCTGTCCACATGTGACAATATTCCCCTACCAACACACTTTCACAAGTTCATTGTGTAACAGGTTACATGAAATGGTAAAAGCCTAATGAGGATATTTCAAGTCAACAAATGAAAATGAATGCAACAGAAGATGGAGGCATCTGCGAGAACACGTGCAGCTTTGCTTTTTGACATTTCTTTTGGGGGGATTTAAAGCTGAAGCCATAACTTTGACACACGCAAAAGTACGCACATTGCCCAGACAGACCCCAGAGGGCTTCCTCATGTTGCAACCATGAGGGTGCAATCAGAAAATCCTATCGCTTTGGTCTGGTTGGAAACCACACCAGAGCACTGGACCTTGTTGACAACACACGCATTGAGGTGAAATTGCAGTTAAGATTAATGGCAGACACACTGCAGATGTGCAAATGTCAGATCAATAAAATGCTATAGAGTGAATAAGGCGTTCATTTGGATTAGCTGTCAGTGTTTGTGAAAACTCAAGAACAAGAACATTAATCATCATGAGTGTTTTTCTTAAAATCATATCATCAGCAGATGTGTTTGGCTCAGTTGGCCTGCTGCTGTCGCTGACCCACCCGTTTGCATTATTGCAAGTTTTTGAGAAAAACAAAATATAACTATATATACAGTACAAAGACTACACACTCCCACACAAACACTTCCACTCACACCTCCTGTCTCAAAGCAAACTAAAAGCCTGTATGTTGCAGCTGAAGGCTGATTGAAGTGACAAGCCAAAATTATACCACTGATACAAAGGTCCTGTTTTACAGCCATGTATGGATAAATAGCACTGTCTCTCTCCTCATTACATAGAAAATTCAACAAAAGTACAATCCCAAAAGAGTTTGGACTGAACTGCAGTGAATCTAGCTTGTTTGAAATGTGAATATAACCAATAGGCTCTTAGCATTTCCATTTATTTTCTAATGACGGAGGCTGAGAGTCTTCCCATGCCATGGAACGAAGCATTTGTGTTGATCAGATGGGATAACTGACACACTGTTTTGATTTTTCTTTCCAGCTCTGTTGGTGGTAGGAACAGGGACAAAACTTTGGGAGGTGCCAACAGGTCCATTTGCATCCTCCTCCAACTTCAGTGAGAGCCTCCAGTGGGAGCCCCACTGTCAGTACCACAACATACAGGACAGAGTGAGAATCACAGCAGATATACCACCACAACTGGATGGTACTTGGGTATCAATAAGGTACAAATTCATATAGAGCAATGATAATGACCCTCCATCTTAAAAACAAAAGCCAAATCGAGACCTGTCCCAAATAATTCAATACTTCAGAGTCATCTCTGTCATACTTAAGAACTTGATAGCTATACATAAAAACAATTGCCTATATAATTTTTCTCCTTCTGCATTTAGATGCGAAGTTCGTCCTGGTCCAGAGTTTCTTACCCGCTCCTACACTTTCCACCCCAACCGTCACTTCCAGGCCCTGCAGCACTACTATACCGACAGC